CCTGTGCTCCACTGCTGTGCAGCAGCAGCTCCAGGGATTTCAGAGGGAGATGGGGATCTCAGCAATGGCTCTGTGTGCTTTTGCCAATCAAAGGCATTTACACTATCTCAAAACAATCAGTGATTACTGCTCTGCAGTTTTAATTCCCCCTTTTTGCAAAATAAAAGGAAATCTTGTGGTTTTTGCTGCCCACATAAGCATCCCTGCATGCTGATGTAAAGTTTTCGTTTCTGTAAATGGGCACTGATAGGTATTTTGAATAATACCTTTTTGTGTGTGTATGTAAAATTCTGCTGGAAAGCAATAGGACAGGGTCTGGTGGAAAGACAGACTGGAATTCCTCCTGCTTCTGAGCAGCAGTTTATCCTCAGCGCGGAGGCTTTGTGATGGATGGAACAGGACACCTGCTGCCCCTGCAGCGGGAGGGAGATGCCCCTGGGCTGCCCGTCCTGCCCTGGGGCAGCGCTGCCCCTTCCCGGCCCTGCAGGGACACCAGCCTGCCCGGAGCGCTGTGCCAGCCCGCAGGGACAAAGCTCCGTGTCGCTGTCCCCGTGTGTGTGTGTCACAGACACGGTTCCCATCTTGCAGGGAGCGTGGAGCTCTGCAGAGCTCAGCACAGGGAGGGGGTGCAGCTCCTCTGCACCAGCGCTCCCAGCGAGCTCCCCAGCCTGTCAGGAATATGGCACGGGCATATTCCGGTATCCCACGGGCAGGCACGGGGATTATTTGTGCTGGTGCTGCTGTTGTCCTTGTCGCTGGGCTCTGCTCTGCAGCGCCAGCCCAGCCCAGCCAGCCTCGCTCCGCAGGGTCCCCAACCTGGAAGGGAGCACTGCGGTGCCAGGGCTCCAAAGCCACCCCCACAGCCCGCGGGGACACTCCCTGAGGAATCAGCGATTGCTCGGCACCACCGAGAGCAAAACACTCGGGCTGCACACCCATCCCAGCCAGTAAAGCACAGTGTAAGGATCTGACAGATTTCTTGCCTCCACGTTGGTAGTCACTAGCAACACGGCTTGATAAAGCCCCGCTCTGGTTGGAGAGGAGCGAGCTGAATTTTCTGTTCGGTGTTCTTGACCCCAGAAGCCCGGCGTTTGTTTACTGGAAAAAACCTCGCAGTTACATCTTTAAAGCTCTGCTGCTCGGTTGGCAAACAAACGCTGGGCAGTGCGGCTCTGCTGAGGTTGTGCAAAAAAAAAAAAAAAAAAAAAAGCAATTGTTATTCATTAAGCAGATGACAGCAACGGGAGCTGAGGGGATAAAACTCGAAATCTGAAACCACCTGCTTTAATTTTAGCCATAATTGAAGCGGCTGCCCATGGTGCTGCTGATGCACATGTCAGATTTGCACGCCATGCGCTGCTCGCACTGATTTCTGTGGCAGCGAGCTGCAGCCCGCTCTGCTTCAGGCGGGGATGGAGCCGTGTTTGATTGCAGGTTGTAGCGGGTACTTGAGAATCTGCTTGTTTCCTTCCAGGAGCAAAACACAGTCGCAGTCTGGCTCTCTGATAGACAGCTGCTTTAGTCATTAGTGAGGCTTCTGTGACTACAACACTGTGTTCTAGTATGGGTGCTCTTTCCTCTTTTGTTCCTGGTTCAAGGCAGCGATGCTTTTTTCGCTCTTGTGCTCATGCGCTCACTCTCTTCCTCTCCCTCCCTCTCCGTCTCTGTCTTTGATCTTGCTGATATGGGGGAAAATATCGGATCCAAATCTGCAGCATATTTAACCAAAAGATCCTGTGGAATGGGAATAAATTGTGACTGAGTGCAGCAGCAGGAGATTGCAGTATGGTTGCTTGTACTGTTTGCTTTGTGCTACTCCAAAACAACAGCAATTGTCATGGAGTGCAGGGGTTGTTCTGCAGCTAAATAAGCACGAAGGGACTCCACATTCACAGAGGGCTAAGGTGGCTTTACTGGGAATAGGGAGACTGGGCAAAGCTCTCCTCTCGCAGTCTCTAATGGAGAGATTTGTGTTAAAGAGGTAAAACGGGAGGAGATCTTTCCTAATGGCAGAGAGGGTCTCATCCTTCACTAAATTCCCTGGAGTTTCTGCCACAGAGTTCAATGGCCCTAAGATAACACTGTCACTTTATATCCAACCTTGTTACAGCACTAGCAACATAAGCCCCAGAGCTGGGGAGCTCACAGCAATATCAGCGGAGGCAGGAAAAGTCTTGACCTCAGCTGCAGAGTGAAATGTTAGAGTGGGAGCATTAACAGTCTCTCCTTGAGCTGTTTGGTGCAGATTTATGCTGCATGTGTTTGTATGTGTATGCCAGCTCCCAAAAGCTATGAAAAGCTTTTTTATGGTTTCCTGTGATGATACATAGTCAGAAGGGATACTTGGATGAATAAAGAAATATGCCACGAAATGGGGAGCAGGTGAGCTGCGTGACAGATGTGTGTTCTGCCCTTTGTTGTTGGTGCTGCTCCTTAGCTAACAGTATTAAGTGCTGGGAATGAGACAGAAGGTTTAACTCCACTTGGGATTCTGCTTAGGGGATCCTCACTGCTTTAGAGCACAGCACATTGTGTGATGTAAGATCCCCAATCCCTTCTGATCAGCAGTCCCTACTAAGCACATCTTCATTCCCCCCTTTACTGATCGTTTACAGCTGTTTACTTTATTTCATGAGAGATTCTGAGGGGGCTGAGGCAGTGACGGGGCTGTGCTGCTCTGTAATGCAGCCCAGAGCTGGCGCCGTGTTTCAAGTGGCCAAATGAGATTTGCACTCCAGTCCCAGCAGACAGTGTTTGTCTCAGTGAAAGCAGTCCACATTTTCCTGGGCTCTGGCATCTGGACATCTTCCTTGTGGCAATAAAGAGGAGGATGGCTGTGGCATCCAGACAGTCGAGGTGTGTTACCTCTCCCGGCACTTGGTAAACTGCCAGCACAGCCTTTTTTGCTCTGACATGTGGATACTTCCATCTTGAAGGAGGCATAAAATGTTTTGCAGACATGCAGCATCTCCCTGGCTTGCTCTCAGTTTGGAAAGGGAGTTGCAGTGGTTTTGACCTGCAGTCTTTTTATCACTCTTATTATAAGTCTAATACCTGTATTTAAATAATGAATTGTGAGGAAATAACAACCTTTCTTAAGAAACAAATAACTAATGTCAGAAAATTGTGAGCTCTAAAGTAATATCTTCAACAGCCTTTCCTCTCTGTAGTCTTGATGATAAAGAGGATACCAGAAATCCTGTCATGTTGTTTCAGTTCCTCCCTTCGCACAGCTGAGCTAAAAGGGAATGCACGTGTTCATCCTCCACCAGCGTGTATTTTCCTTCTATGTGCATTAAAATAATAGATTCCCCTTTTATTTATCAAATCATTATCTTTGTTAAGTACAAGAAAGAAGTAATTGCTATGCCCACAAGACATGTGACACCTGTGACAATCCCGGATTGTCTTCTGCAGACTGTGCTGGGTGGTGGGTGCATGGTGACACATGACCCCCGTGTGCCAGAGCCCCACCATGCACAGCCCTGAGGGAATGCTGTGGAAGTGCTCTCAGATCTCCAGATTTTGGTGCAGCTTCAGACAATATTCCAGTTAGGCTGAAAAGATAGGCATCCATTTCTTCTGCAGAGAGGAGTCTTGTGATGTTACAGTTCCACATGTGGCTCTCGTTTCTCCATCCCCAAGGGGTGTCCTTGCAGAAAGACCAAAAGGGTTTGAATTCTTACCAAAGCTCAAGCTCCTTTGAAAGCTACGGAGCCAAGCAGATGCTTTACCGTGAAAGAGGACGTCCTTTGAAAACAATCTGGTGCTTATTAATCAATAAGAATTCAGTGTTAGGGGTCCTTCAGCAAGAAAAGATAAGGAAAGCACATGTGGGTCTGACCTCCTGAGTGGAAATATGCAGGTTGCACCCCTGTGCTCTGCTGAGGAGCAGATTTTGTATAGCACTGTTATGTCAGCACTTTGCTCTTGGCTGCAGTGATGTTTGGCAGGATGCTGATGTTGAGACTGAGTTGCCTTAGAGCAGGCACCAGGCCACTCACCTGCTCACTGGTGCTGCCCTGTAGGTATCTAGACTCATTAGGCTCTCTCTTAGCCAGAGAGTTCTCTGGACACTTAATTTCACACACCCACATATGCTCAGAAGTGCCATTTCTGGGAAGGCAGGCTCTTGGATGTTATTTAAAGCTTTGCTGTGTTTCTGGTTTATGTGGGTAGGCACCTGGACTCTTATTTCTGTTAAAGGGGACTACAAAATTAGGCATAGACAAGATTGATTCCTGGGCCTCACCTCCTGCCCCACAGCCGGTGCTCTCACCCAAACATTGGCAGAAGGGGTCTGGGCACTGCTCAGCCTGAGGGGTTTGTTCCAGTACCAGCTCTGTCTCAGGAGAGCACCCTCAGCATCCCTCCTGTCACTGCTCTGCAGCTCCATCCTGAGAAATACAAGGCCAGGATTAAAATGTGAAAGGAGAGGGTAGAGAGGGGAGTGGTAACCAAATCCAGTTCTCAGGGTGTTGCAGGGGAAGGAGAGTCCCTGGCCCCCCTCCCTGGTGTGCGTTACACATTTTACACTGTGTACCACCATCACCACAGGAAGCACCACTGGGAGATTGTCCTGTTTTCCAGAGTCCCTGAGTCCCATCTGTTCCCCATTTGTTGCAGGAGTTACTGAGGTGGCTGTGTGAGACAGGCAGGATTACCCTCTGGGTTTCCATGCCTTTGATGAGGCAGGATCTGAAGTTAACACTTAAATTAAGCAGAGTTGATTTTATTGCCTTTGTGTGTTATAATGCCCATGAAATCATTAAAACTTGGTGTGCGCTCCTGGGTCTTCTGCCGTCTCCCTGAGTACTTCAGTCATGTGCTGACTTTGCCTGAAACTCCAGCAGCTGCCTTCACTTCCCCACCCCACACACAGTGGGACCTCCCAGGGCTGCAGGACACCTCTGCTAGCACCTCCATGGCTTGGTAGGATGCTTGGATGAGGGACACCACTTTTGGGAATAATCTTTTTTCCACTGCTTTCTGTCTTACAGATTGATGAACTTCCTGAAGGAGCCGTCAAGCCTCCAGCAAATAAATACCCCATCTTCTTTTTTGGGACTCATGAAACGTAAGTGAATGACCTGTTCCTTTGGAAATGCCTTTTTGCAGCACAGCCAACATCATTTCCTCTGATTTCATTGGAACAAATCCTGACTGAAGCCATTGGGAGCCTAGAGAAAGGTCCTGCCAGCCCAACTCATTGGTATTAACAAATGGGAGTGAAAGCTGGGAGTGGTTGGGAATGCTGCTGCCTTCATGGTCTAAACACAAAATCCTGTGTATCCTGTAAAGAAATGTGTGGGCATGAATTCATTAGAGGGTCTGAAAAAGCTCTGAACTCAGAGGCAGGGGCAAACATTTCTTACTTGGATGTCCCTGATAGCAGAGATCAGGCTCCTGTGTTTGGACGCGTTTGAGCTCATGTCCCGTGTGAGAACTCACTTGGTGGTTTGTGATGTGAAAGGAAGCAGACCCCAGAGTCTCAGCAGAGCTTCAGAGCATGTGCACTCCTGGGAGATCTGTGCTGGGATATTATTGTAGGATGGAGCTCTCAGAAGGGATAGAAGAACTGAGCTGGCTGATCTCATAGGGAAAGGAAGGAATCAGAGCACAAGAGGTGAGTTAGGCCTCATCATAATTGCTACAAGGTGCAGAGTTTCAATATTATAATGTACATGTCTCTAGTTTAAACCGTGTCTGAGATAGCTAAAAAGCAAGTCACATTCCATTTTGCAAAATATTTTAATTTTAAAACTTTTCCTTCCCTATTTGCAGGTAATATGTTCCCTAGAATTCCTTTAAAACTGGAAAAATGAAATTCTGATGATATTTTAAATTCAATGTTAGAGGCTTGAAGCTTTATTAAAAATTTATTGTTTATTTTTGAATTTTAATGTTATTCCAGAATATTACAAGCTCCATAGCTCATACATCACATTTTTTTAGAAAAAATCTTTAAAGGCAGTTTCTGATTTATAAAGTTCATAATAGCCTCTCTTTAGTTAAAATAGTTCTGATTTTTTCTAGTTTCATTGGTAGAATGAAACAACCTGATGTTTTGATATGTTGTGGTCTACTAGTACTGTCACAAAATAATCTGAAAAGAGTAAAGTTTAAATAAATTGACAATGCTTTCAAATCAGAAACCAAAATGTAATTATTTTTTAATGGAAACATCATTTTTGAGAAACATTTAAGAAAAAAACTGACCACTTTTATTCCAAAATGAGTGAATCCCAAACTGATAATCTTTTTTGATTTGTATTTTGTGAGCTCATGATCTTACTGTAGCATCTGAAGTAGAAAAACAGTTTGTAGTTCCTACTTTATAAATGTAAAAGCCTAACTGTTAAAAATGAGCTGTAGATTGCAGCTCCTTAGTTTTATAGCAGAGCAGTAGAAACTTATGCTCTCCCAGTGGCAATGAATGCATTTCAAGCAAAGTTGTAGACAGCTTTTCAGTGTTTACATAAAAGGCTGTAGAAACATTTCCATACATTACTCTTGAGCTAAGTTAAGGTAGCTCATGCTAAGTTTCATACAGTTTTCCTTTTTTATTTGTGTTAGAACTGTTTGTTTATATTTTTGGCAACAAGGATACATCTCCTGGTATTAGTAAAAGTGTAGATAACATAATTTATTTAGTGTAGCATTTAATATTAACATGGCACCTGTTAGTTTGCAAATCACTGTTTGGCTTTCAGGTAGAAATGCATTCTTGGCTTTTTAATTATATAATTAAGATATTTCTCAATATCCAGCTGAGTGTGGATCCCATGCTGTCTCAGGTGGAGTTAGAAGGAAGCTCTTTCCTCAGGGACTTGTCATCTGATGACTTTTTAGCAACCATTTTGCTCTGCACTGGCAAACTGCTTGGCCAGTGGGATGATTTAAGTGAATGGAGCTTTGCACATTCATAAATGCTGGGCATAAATCAGGCATTAATCTGAAATAATGATTGCAGAAAGGAAGAAATATTATCCTGTGATTAAGATATTAGACTGAGACTGAAGCGAGCTGGCTTTTCCTCTGCACTCTGCTGTCAGTTTGAGTTTGACCTTGGACAAATCTTTGTGCCTCAGAATCCCATCTGCAAAAAAGGGCAAACCCCCAATGTCATGGTGAGGTTACAACAATAAATGTATTTAATCCACATTCCCACAGTGATGGAGACCAGAGAGTTAACATGAATTGCACAGATCATCAGCAAAGTAGGACAATGATTATGGTGAAGGACACTGGGACTTGCTCAGCCCTGGTCATTGATGACACAGAATCTTTACATGTGGGAATGAAGGGGTCTTTTTACCTTAATTGTTTTAATTTGACTTGTGATTACAATCTCAATGTCACCATGCAGAATTCAGTAGATATAGATACCCAACAAAAAGAGAGTTATGCTTCCTTCAGTTTAAGAGTTTAGAAGAAGTTAGTTTTGCTGTAATGTGTGTAGGAAAAGCAGGACAAATCACCACTCTTCTTTTTTTATGTAATTATTTTTCCCTGCATTGTGATGCTTGTGCCTGAAATTAGTTGGCCCAGTGTGCAGCTGACTTAGGCAGCAGCAAAGCACAAAATCCCTCCTTTGCTGTGCTGTCTAAAAAACTATTTGGCCACAAGCACCCTGTGTGTCTCATTGTTTCCTTGTATTACTCATCTGCCTATATTCATCCATTGTTTTTTGTTCTTATATGAAATTATAAGATTTTTGGGAAAGAGCATTCTTATTGTGTTTGTGCAGAATTTAGTATGTGGGGTCTAATTCCAAGAAAGCAGCTCCCAGGCTTACTGGCAGTATAGATGGTAATAAATGTCACTGCTTTTTCTGTCCCATAGTACAAGGGACAGATTTTGGCTCATGGGTCCTAGGCACTCCTTACATGCTTGACTTTTCATGTGGCATTTTTGAGGCCTTTCTGGATTTATAACTCCAAGATTGGAAGTTTGGTCCCTTGCTATCGCAAGCAATGACATCATAAATTGTTTTATAAACTTTCATAAACTGTTCAAGTGCCAGTTCCCAGCAGTAGTTAATAAAATAGAGATGTTTCAGTTGTTTCTAGAGATACCCAGCATGATTTTACTACATCAAACATCAGGATGGTGAGCCAATCCATTAAATCAGACTCACAGCAGTAACTCAAAGCCAGCGTGACCAAAAAAATAAATAATTAAAACTAGAAAAGAAATGCTTCAATGAGCAGAAGAATAGGGAAAGCATTTGCAGTGTTAATGTTATGATTTTTTTGAAGAGGAGAGTGTGATAAGTCCTTTTTTGACTGTTCCCTCTGTTCAATGCAGTGCATTCCTGGGGCCCAAAGACCTTTTCCCATATAAAGAATACAAAGATAAGTTTGGGAAATCGAACAAACGAAAAGGATTTAATGAAGGCCTGTGGGAAATAGAAAACAACCCTGGAGTAAAGTTTACTGGATATCAGGTAAATGACTTTCACACCTTTCGCTCCTGTCTTTCTTGTTTTCTTCTTTTACTGTTTGTCACAGTGAGTGCTTTAAGAGTGACGTGTAAAGTTCTGGTTTTGGTGGAGCAAGAAAGTTTCACAGCTCTGGTAATTGTGGAATGTAAAGACAACTGTGGTCTCACACTCTGTGACAAATGGATCTTTAATCATACTGCAGAGTCTTTTGCTTTCTGTGACATTCTGGAGTGGTGAAGTGGAAAATTCTGCAACACATTTAGTTAAATTAAAAATGGATGGTTTTATTTACTCCTGTACAAACATGAATAATTTCTGACTTCTTCTTTCTGTTGTTTATTTTTATATCAGGCTCCATGTATTTTACACAGACCTTAAGGTCACTGCACTTTTGATTTTCACCTTTGGCAGTGCCAAAGCTAAGAGGAGTGAGGAGGTGGAGGGTTAAGCTGCTGTAGGAGACAGTTGCTGCTGTACAACAGCTCTCCCTGTTGGGTGTCCAGAGCAGAAAGTCAGTGAAGCTGGAGAGGGAGAAGAGTAGTTGGTGGGCTGTATAAAACAAAGAACTTTTCTCATTAAAAAAATGTGCTCCTTTGAAGGCAGGAATCACCTCCAAAAGCAGGCAAACACCTATTACATTATTATCACAAAACACTACAAGCCAGAGATACAGACCACCTGCAGAAAAGCTGCTGCTTCTCTCAGTTCCTGTTTCATATTTTCAGCCCTACACATGTTTTGCATACACTTGGGGATTTAAAAAAAAGTCCAGTGAATAGTCTGTGGGAGATGGGCTGTCAAAGAGTGCTCAGCCTGCTGGTCAGGGCTTGCTTTTCCAAAACACAGATCTTGCCCTTTGAGGGGAGTGTAACAGCCATCTTCTCTCACAAAAAAGCCTCTGCTATTGCAGCCAAAGTCTGAAAGTTTCAGTAGTTTTTCCCAGAGCAGAGCATGCCAGGTCTCTGCACTGAGCAGCCCTTAGCTCTCCTCCAGCAAACATGTTTTTGTTATTGGATCTTCTGATCCCAGAATCTGCATCTGATAACTGAGTTCAAGTGGTGACTGAGAAAATTGCCTTTGCAGCCCTTTTTCCTGATAATTGCAAAAATAACCTGAGCTCTTCCTAACTGTAGCAATTAAAGTGTAAGCTGTCCATTTCCATCTTTCTATCTTCAATGCAGAACAAAAATCAAGTAATAGATATTAGTGATATTTTTATTGTTGATGTTATTATTGTTGTTGTTATTTTAAAGGCAATTCAGCAACAGAGCTCATCAGAAACTGAAGGAGAAGGAGGAAATACAGCAGATGCCAGCAGTGAGGAGGAAGGTGACCGGGTAGAAGAGGATGGAAAAGGAAAAAGAAAGAACGAAAAAGCCGGCTCAAAACGGAAAAAATCCTACACTTCAAAGGTTATCTTCTGACTTTTCCTGTTGTTATCCATGGGCATTTATAATTGGAACACTGTTCACCTCATGGAAATTTGTTCTTCCTCCTTTAGCATTTTGATTCTGATACCAGGACAGTGATGTTCAAACAGGCAAAGGAGAATGGGCTTGATTTGTAGCCTTGGTGAGACACCACTTGAAATACCCTGCCCTGCTCCAGTGCCCACACACTGAGAAGAAGGTGAAACTATGGGAAGGAGATCAGAAGGGCTGGGAAGAAAATCCATGCAAAGATGGATTGATAGGTTAGATTATGTCAGATCAGTCTCTCCCCAAGAAGAAGAAAAAATCCTTATGAGTGGGCCTCCTGAGAGTCATGAGCTCAGGTTTGGTTCCTGTCCAGGAGAACTGAAGCTTCCTCCTCCATCTCCCAGAAGGATCTGGTAGGGCCAGATGTGCTCAGCTGCTCCTCTTGGAGCTGAGTGTGAAATACTTCAGTCCAGGATGCAGAATGGGAAGGTGGAAGAACTCATTCATTAAGCAGGGAGTAGGATACTCAGTTTGTGGATATAAGACCTGCACTGTAGTACCTACCAGCCCTGTTGATAGCTCATGTAACAGTGTAGATCAGGCAGCTAAGAGTGATGTGTCTGTCTCACAGTGGCTGGTGGGAAAAATCCCCTGAGAAGTGACACCTTTGGGTTCAGATAAACTTCTCACTTGTCACCTGGGGTGAAGGGCAGCAACATTAAAGTCACTTCCTCTGGTTCTGTGTGTGCCTCCAGGGCTGCACTTCACCTGAAAAATTGTGTAAAGTGTGGCAGAGTCAATTTATGCACATTCATGTTATTCTTCTCTGAAAGTGAAAACTAATGGAAATGAGAAGAAGCAATCAAACAATCTGATCCAGGCACAGTTTGGGGGAGAGTGTGAATTTTGTGGTTGATCCACCAAACAAAATGTATTTTCACCCATTTTAAGTGTTCTACATCAGAAATTCAGGTCTGGTCTGCCATCTTCTTTCCAAAAGATTCTGGACAAACAGAGGATTATGAAAATGGTGGCTTAATGCCACAATTTATCCTTTTGTACTGTAGAATTGCATAACATAAAGGGATGTAAAGGAGAAGATATATTGGTTCCACATGGCTCTAATGTTAATATATTAAAGCTGACAGCACTAAAAAAAAGTATGGAAAGCAGCTCTGCTAATGTTATTCTCATTTTACATCTCTGTATTTAATCAAAACTTTTGCCAAGCTGGCACCATCTGTTTCATTAACTAACAAAACCTACCTACTAGTGACCCAGCACTAATACCCAGCTCCTATTACTGTGTCTGTCTTTCAGTCAATTGAGCTGCCAACCTGTGCTGAACACAGAATTTCAGAGAAATTTCCTTCACTGGTGGCAGTAACTGCAGCTACTTCACCAGAAAAATGCTTTTCACCCCATGTATTCACCTTGACCAGGGAAATGCATGATCAGACAGCATTCCACATACATTTCAGAAGTGTCTTTCTATGGCTGAAGCTCAGGTTTTAATTTTCACTTTGTTGTTGATCATTTTAGAAATCCTCCAAGCAGTCACGGAAATCTCCTGGAGATGAAGATGATAAGGACTGCAAAGAGGAAGAAAATAAGAGCAGCTCTGATGCTGGGGACGCAGGCAATGACACAAGAAACACTTCTTCAGATTTGCAGAAAACCAGTGAAGGGGTAATCTTCTGCTCCTGTCATTCACTTCCCATGCAGTTTGCTCCTGGGGGGCTTTGAAGCCAAGGGTGACCTGTGTGTCCCATGTGCCACCTTCTTGGGTTACATTTCAGTGCTCAGAATGTGTCTAGAACAGAAACATGGACTTGGTGCCAAAATTTGTACATTTTTGCTCTAGAGAAATGACTGGAAAAGAGCATTATTTTTGTTCTGCCACTTGCATAGATGTCAGCTGAGAGGAGCCACTGTAAACCATGAGCTGGAATGATGCAAAATTGATGGGAGAGCAGAATCAGACTGTTTGCATAATGCATGCTGGCTCACTAACAGAGGGAGCCTGCTTGCCCTGTCACACTTGTTTAATTTGTGGGGTCCCAGTGTCTTCTTTGGGGTTCTTGAGGGTTCGTGTGCTCATGACAGACTCTGCATACTGCAGGTTCCAGGGCAGGGGCTGCCCTGGACTAGGAGCTTCCAAGGATGGGAAATGTACTCTGCTCCAGAGCAGCTTCATACAATCCCCTTGTGTGTTTTGTCAGTTGTGTGTTCATACCAATATTATTTTGTTGTGACCACAACAACAAGAGGGGCAGGCTGAGCCGGGGGATTACATGGCAGCTGGTTACTCAGCCACCTTTAGCAGCCCCTGCTATTTCTGAGCCTTTGGAGCAGCACAAGCCTCTCTGCTCCAGCACTTGGAGCTCCAGCTCAGCAGCAGCCCTTGAGCAGTGCCCATGCCAAGGCTGCGCCACGTGGGCAGCAGCCGGGCTGGGCTGTCACAGGAGCTGAGTGACACAAATGCCCAGGTGTGAGAGGAGGCCAGCCAGCACAGCTCTCAGCTGACACTGCTGAGGTGCCTCAGCACCCAGCTGCGTGCTCAGCCAAGCCCTTTCTCACAAAACACAACCTCTGGGCAGCTGCTGCTGGCTCCCACTCAGACACTCCTCCCAGAGCTCCCTGTGTCCCTCTGCAGTGCAGTGTGGTTGTTTTGTGACTCTGCTATAAAGACTTTGATAGGTGGCTCATGGGGTCACAAGGAAAATTCACACTCCCATTCACTCTGAGCAAGCTGCTGGCTTCAGCCAGGGATGGATGCAAGGAGACCCTGCCCAGCTGTGTCCTCCCAGCCTCTCACCCACAGAGTGTCAGAGGCTGATAAGGGTGGCCCACATTCTGCCTGGTGAACCCTGTTACACTTCCATCTCTTCAGATAGGTATTTGGGTGAGAAAACTGTTTGTAAGATGCATCTGAGGTAACAGGAGGTCAGCAGACCCTCCTGTTTCCCATGTTTGTGGCAGTGACAGGGGATATGTGTGTGGACTTCAGACACATTTTCCATGTAAGGAAAATGCTCACTCAGTTACGTCAGTCACAGACTAAGTGGCTAAAACATCACACAGAATGTTGGCTTTGTGGCTGTTGCATTCATATGGCTCTTTCTTCTGGGTGTGACATGCTTGTGACATGCTCGGGAGGTGAAGTCCAGCATGCTACAACATGGTCGTGCTTCTCAGCATTTTCAGGATTACAGATATTTTAGCCTCTGTGCTGAAATACTGTCAATAGTGTTATCCTTCCTGCCAGCACCAACTTGAAGCAATATCTAGAGTCAATATTGTCATACCCATGTGGGGAGGTGGCTCTGCTCTGACTTCTGCAACTCCACCATGCAGAACTCATGCTTGAGCAACCAAGCTCAAGCTTGGTTGTTAGGTCTTGGATGCTTTTAATGTTATGGAAAAGGTGGAATTTTAGTAATACAGATTAAAGAGACAATGGGGCTGTGCTTTTAAGGGCAGCTTGAGATAAAAGCACTGATAAGTTTGGAAAAGTTCACATCCTGATCCATGTATTTCACCTTGGCCATTTCTGCTGCAAAATCACCATTTCTCATGTGAATCTCTTGAGCATTTCACTGAGGTTTTGTCAGTACTGCAATTCTCTTGGAGGACCAGGAGGGGACACTCCATCTCCTGCTGCTCCTCAGAGCCAGACCAAGTGTCCTTTTAGAAGGTCTGCCTTCAGAAGACACAGGGCACCTGGGGGAAGAGTAGCAGGTTCTTTTTGAATTGGTGTTAAACAGCCAGCCCTGCAATGTCCAGATTGGCGAGCTGGGGCATGGGGCCAGCTGTGCTGCTGGACACCCAGACTGAGGCTCTGCTGCAGGGCACTGAGCTCCTCCAGCCCACACTCTTGGGCTTCTCTGCTGCAGAAAGGAAGGTAGAAAAAGAGCAACATGCACCTGGAGAGTTGGGATGTGATCCTCTGCTCACACACATGAATTCAGACAAATGTCTCGACCTGCTAAAGACACCACCATAGAGGAGATGATGGTCTCCTTAGAGTCACTGAGCTGGTGAGCAGAGCCTGGCCAGGCAGTGTGCAGAGGATGGGTCTCTCCCTGCGGTGTGCAGAGCCCCGTGCCCCGCTGTCCCCAGTTTGGCCACTCCAGGACCTTGGTGTGGCCATGAGATGGCGCCAGGAGCCTCCGGAACGGGCTCGGGAGAGCCGCTGCTCGCTCAAAATAAGGTGCCGGAAGATAAAAGATATCCTGAGTCAGGTACCCTACACAGGGGTTCAGGGCCCTGGTGTCAAGGACAGGTGTGATTCATTGCTGTGGTTTGCCCGGCTGCCTGAGAGCTGCTCGTGGAGGCTGGGCCACCATGGAGGCACAGGTGGCTTGGCCACCCTAGCCTGGGCTGAGAGTGCCCTTGGCCACCATGGGGGCACACGTGGCTTGGCCACCCTACCCACGGTGCTTCCCATGTGCTGACAGTGCTTTTGCCCCCCTGCTCTGCACCCCCCAGGCCTCCCACTCAGACTGTGCAAGAGTTTCCTGGAGGAGACAAGCTTTTCTCTTACTAAAACTACTAATAATGAGGTAGTAATTGACTTTTATAATGCCTGGACTGCAGGCTGAAGACCCATCTCTCCTCCTCAGATCAGATGGAATCCTGCCTTTTAATCACACTCTTACCCTCAGCATTACAGGGATCTTCTTGAAGGGCTAACAGCCAAAGTCAGATGATTGCAGGAGCACCTTCACCTGTATTTTTTAATGAAAATTCTAACCTCCAGGTGGTAGAGGTAAGCTTCAAAATGCCAAGTGATGGCTTCCTGAAGACTCAAACCCAGAGCAAATAAAAGTACTTTCAGAGCTATTATATTTTTTTCAACCAATATCATACTGTTCAAGGGCTCAACTTGTGATTTTCTTTTTATCCCTTGGGTAGACAAAGGTGCTTTCTTTTTTTTGATCTCCATCCCTTAGTTTCTGAGCTATTCTTGAGTACTACAGGCACTCTCAAGAAAGAGATGTTTCCTCAGTCCTAACCATAGTTGGTTATTGTGTTCCATCACCACATGTTTTTCAAGCTCTTTCCCTAACTGCTGTTCATTGTCTGATTCCTTCCCCAGAAAGATGCAGAGCCTGAACCTCAGGGGTTAATCATCCCATATTGATTAACTAATAGTGCATTAGCTAAGACAGCCCATCCCAGAGTTTGCTCAGGTCTTGAGTCACAGAATCTTCCCAGAACTCTTCCCTGCTGTTAAATACTAAATTGCTTTGGCTTTCTCAGAATACCACATAAAGAGCATTTCTGGTGGAAAGGTATTCATGGCTCTGTGTTGTTTACTTTCATGGTATTAAATTAGTTCATAAATCAGTGAATTCATGGCAGCAGATTTACATTCCTCATTTAAATCTCTGGTGGCTTGTGTCTTTAGTTCTTAGCTGGCATAACTCTGAGTCTTTGTAACTGAACACCTAAACTGCTTTTACTTTACTTTCTGAGTGGCCACATACTCATATTTGAAAGCTGGCTGTGGTTCTGGCCTTATTAGAGAGTGTTTGAAGGTCAGGCCAGCACACAGGGTGTGTGGCAAGTTTTCATTTTGGTATTCACTGTTTTAGTGACAGTCTGGGTAGAGTATTGGTAAAGGAGGCATTTGCTTGATGTTCAGGTGCAGGAGGTGAATGATTTTACTCTCTTCAGAGAAGAATAAATTTGCTGGAAATTAGATACTTTTTCTTGCTCCTGGTACAGCCTGAATATTAAAATGGAGTAAAGGACTGTGATCCTTTTTCTCACACTGACAATCAGTTACCAACTGAGTCAGTGGATCTATTTGTGGAGGCAACTGCCAGCATGAATAAGGGGATCAAAATCTGGTCCAAAATTATTGCCATCTGACACCATTGCATTTGGGAGAACATATTTAAAACGGCCTGTGTCCAGGCTTTTTTGTTGTGGCATTCTTGTGGGGTAGCAACCATCCCAGTTACTCTGTGAGGTACAAGTGGCCAGAGAAGCACAGGTTCACTGTGTCCTTCTGATGGGGTTTTGAGATGTTTGGTTCCTCTGCTCTTCTTTACTTATCAGGAATAACACTGATCAGGCTGCATAACAGGTTTGGGGGCTTATCAGCATTGAAAGCATAGAATTTAGGGCTTGGTACAATGTAAAAGCATTTTGTACAAAAAATTAAAACAGAGTATGTTTTTTCTGTCTGATTTTCTTTTCCTGCTATTTGAGGCATGCTAAAATTTACCCTTCAAAGCAAAAGATAATATTTTTTAGAATGTGTCTAAGTATTGCACAGTAAAAAATTCTATGTAAAAATCAAATAGTGGCATAATATATGGCGTAAGGAGTTGTGTTTGCTGCCTTCAGGATAACAGCACTGCTGGCTAAGGACATGGGATATAACTCAGAGGAAACATAAATGTCTGAATGCAAGTTGAGATTAAAGCAGCCAGTACAGATGAAATATTTGCAGCTCTGTGTACATTGAATCCTGTAACCACTTTGACCTCAAAGCAACGCAGAATAACAACTATTGTACAGAGCAAGTAAACAATGATGCTTCTGCCCATGCAGTTGTACAGTACAGGATGGCTGAATTAGTTGCCAGACACTGTTAAGGAAGTAATCTTCAGTGCCAGAAAAACAGACAGCAGTTTGTGGGTTTAGTTTTGTTCCCTGCTCTGTTTTCTGTGTGCTGCCACTGATAACAGAAACTTTGCACTGGAATCAGTCAGATCCTTGCTCTCTCCTTTGTGTGCAGCACGGCACATGGTGTACCACAGCTTGCAGTGAGGCTGGGAGACTCGTTCAAACAAAGATGTTTGAGAGTTGTGTTTCTGGAGAGCCGTGAAACCATGGAGACCAGGGGAGGTGCCCGGGCTGCCGCATCCCCGAGCTGCAGGGAGGGCTGAGCCTGGCCAGAGCCTGCCCTGCCCTGCGGCTCTCCCTGCTGGGGACAGGACCTGCTGCCCTGGGCACCTGGCACTGCTGCCAGGAGGGGAACATGCCTCTGGAAACTGCCAAAAGCCTCGAGCATGACTTGCATTGTCTGTCTCTTTGTTGTCCCTCCCGTGGCACAGCAGCTGTGTCTGTGACACAGTGTGGAGGGGAGGTGTTCATGTTCCCAGCACCCACATAAGGATGATCATACCCAATCTTCTGGGCCTAGCCCAGAAGGGAATTTTGGTAATGATTGCCAAGGTTTCACGCTCCAAAAGGACATCTTTCTGTACTGGATCTGAGAGTTCCAGCACAGGAAGCAGCTATGTTACCCCATCCTACCTGTCAGTGCTGGGCAGCCACTGCCAGCGGGAACGTCAGCAGAAAGCAGGGCTTGATTGACTGATCATGTGTAATTGTTTAATTGGGTGTCTGAAGGGAAAGGAACAGCAGTGAACCCCCCCCAAAGCATCTCTAAGTATGATCTCCCTGACTCTGAAACAGGAGAGAGGCCTCTGGAGTGTGGTGTGCTGGATGGGCAGCACATGGTTCCCCCTTTTGGGGGAGTCAGGACTCTGGTAGTTCCTGTAAGCCTGAGCACTTGATAATAACCCCTGATTGTATGTCCTTAGCCAGGATGTAGCAGGACCTCCCACACAGACAGCACAGGTTTCCATTTTTACTCTTGACAAAGCACTTGTCATAGGAGAGGGCTGCACTGACCAAAGACAGGGAAGGTGTTGTTGTAGTGTTGTAGGAGAAGGGATGCCTTGCCCAGAGGTGGGCAATCATGGTGCACTGCATGCTGTCATGCTGCTGTCCCGCTGCTGTCCCAGGGCCACCAGGTGAATTTTGCCATCTCTGTTCAATTGGAGGAAACCAAGACTTGTATCTCTTGCTGTGATCATGTGAGGGCAGTCTGATCCTGATCCCACTAATGTCAGGGAAAGCAAGGGCTGACCTTGACTCACCCGTGGGAGTTCCTCTTCTGTCATCACCTTACAGTGAACTGGAGCCAAGCTGTTTCCTTTTCAGAAGCAGCACTTGGATCCCTTAGAGATGAAAATGTTTATCTTTGCTCATGCTTGCTAAGCTTTCCTGTATCTGAACAAGAGGGTGTTCTTGTGGCTGGACATCCAGGAATGCAGCAGTGCCTGAGCTCCTGCATGAACCCCATCAGTGATTTTGTGCAGTGGAAAAAGACAAAATTTGGTTGTGCCTGAAGTGTGCTACAAGGTTTGTAATGGAGTGACTGGGGAAAAACCCACCCACATATATCACAGGAGCTGCTATTGAATACAGCCCTAAATGTTTACTTTTAAACTGTGCTCATTAATATTTTGTAGTGATATGTTTGGTTGATGTAACAAAACAGTTTTCTCTAGAAAAAAATTCGTTTGAATGGACCAGGTGGTTACTTGTACCTGTGACTAAGAAGTGTGGAAATATAACATCAATTGTACCAAGTTTGATGCAGCATGTTATTTCTTACATTAAATGTGACTTCTTTCTCTTTCTCTTTCAGACTTAACCAACATAATGACTGCTGAATATTAAGGGAAAACACAAGAAGGTTACATGTTTGGTTGTCTAATATTCTTGGATTTGATATGAGTCACCACATCTGTTCATTAGTACCATCAACAGCATCCCAGTTTGTATGCACATTACTCACATTCCTATCTGTTGTGTTTGCAGAAATGACATTTTTACCCTTTTTTCTAAGGGTTACTTTTTGATTTTCATATTATTTGGTTGCATGAAGTTGCCCTTTTCCAGTGGCTGAGGTTTATGAAGATATCGCATACTTGAACATGTTTTAGATTCCTTTTCGAGACAGAAAAGGCATAACTCCAAATTATATCATTCTAAATCAACATTTTTAAACACAACTAAATCTTAGAAATGAGTCCCCTCCATACAATGCTACAATAATCTTCCACGTACAGACATAATTTTAAATTTTCCTAGATCCATTCTCTCTTGGGTTTTGATCAGTTTACAACATGAAAGAAAAATTCTTCTTCAGTTGAAATCACCACCAAGTTCAATAATGTAATAAAATACCTTTCCTTATTAGAAGTACCTAGCTAGTTATACTCTTAATACTTCTCCAAACCATGATGTAATGTACACTATCTGACTTAGTTCCTATATGTGGAGTTAGTGAAAGTCTTTTTGTGTTTCTTTAGATTAATACAAGGATTTTTCCAATGCCAACACAATTTGAAATCATTCATTTGGATGCTTTCCATTTTTAAGCTTACTGTGATATACAGCCCTATGGGAAACCAAAACAAAACATCAATTTTAAATAATGAAAGGCTTAAAAAAGGATGCTGTCATTCTGGCTTTTTTTTTTTCCTTTTGGAAATAGAACTAGACTAGTAAGTAAGCATTCCAAATCCATTACTCTGTGTACATTATTGTTGCTATTGTGATAATAGAGATTTTTATTTATTTTTATGCCAGCTTTTATTGTGAAAACATATTTAGTCTGGTTTTATCAATCCTTGTTATGCTTGTCCTTGGAACATCTTTTGCGTATTCAAGGTTTGTAGTTGATGAGTTTACTGTAAAAAACTAAAAAAAAAAAAAAAACACAAGGAAAAAAAACCAAAAAAACACCAAAACAAAACAAAAAGGAAACAAAAAAATGTATTGTTTTTACAGAATAAATTTATTGGAATGTGTATTGGGAGTAAGGTTTGAGGTTGTAAGCAACTAAGTTAGCGTCATATTTGGCTTCATACGTGTAATAATGTGAGGTATTAATGTAAGTCAAGTATTAAAGCAAAACATTCTGTTAACATGAGTTGACCATAATAGATACAAGTGCAGGTGAGATCTTTATTTTTTCTGTACTTTGCCTTTTCTGGATAACAGGAGGTCATTAAATTCACCTTGAATGTATTCAAAGTTTCTTTCCAGACATCAGAAGTAACATCAGAGGCTCAAACAGCTGTCTGTGAGCCAGCACGTCCTGTGAGAGCCCAGCGGGGTTTGTTTCCCTGGGAAGAGGCACTGGGATGGGGCTGTCCCAAAGCCTGAGGAGCTGCACCAGGGATGCTGGGTGCCAGCAAGCACTGCCTGAGGTGTGCTGTGGTTGTTTTGGAGCTGCCCCTTTGGCCGGAGGTGTAAAACCTGGGGCTCTCCTCTGACACGGCAGTGTTCAGCAGGAGAATGTTACAGCCTGCATTTCTCAGTGCTCTGAAGGTCCCTTCGTGCAGGGTGCAGCACACAGGCATGTCAGCTGCTTCCTTGTTACTGATTAGACTTCAAATTCTTTCAATCCAAACACCAAGAAGTCAACAAACCCAAAATAAAGTGTTTCCAGTTAAAACGTATCAGCTAGTTTCATCTGTGAGAAAGGCACTAGGTGTACTGCTTTTAATATAAATACACATAGAAGGCATAGAAATAGCTGTAATTGCAAATAGAAACGTAAGCTGCCCAAACCAAGGTCGCTGTGTTGGCTGCTGCTTGTTTCTGAGCCAGCAGCATTAGCAAAAGTAGCTGCAGAGACACAGCCAAAACCCCTCCTCTCTGGAAAACACGAGCTCAGAGGCTCAGAGCCCTCTGTGCCCAGCCCACAAGTGCTGCTGAGCACCTGCTCGGCTTCAAGCAGGTGAGCAGTCCTGGCAGAAGTGAATCCTGAAGAGAATTAACAAAACTATATGATTTGCTTATCATATATGGAGTCTTACCATAAGAGTTGATTGCTTCTTAAAAGATTTCTTGGGATTTTTAACAAGGTCGACCCACAAGACATACTTTTTGACAAATAAAACATGTGCATGTGACAGAGTTATGTATGTTAATTTTTCATGCTTCACAATGCTGACCTTCGTGTTGTGCAGTAGCTCTGAGCAGGGACTGCTAGCACTGCTGTTCCTCAGCGTGCGGAGGCTAAACACTGACATCATTATTATTATTTAACTTCATGCAGTATTTCTAAAACTGTCAAAGCAGCTTACTTAAAAATAGCTGTGGGAACTGGCAATGCACTGCAAAGTCACAATGTTGAGAAGTGGTGCTAAAGGCAGTTGTCTTTATTTTCCCTTTTTCAGTAGGATAAACAGAGCGGCCCATGCGACTACACAGTTGTGCAATTTTACACATCTTACACGCCTCATTTGGGTTCCATCTGAGCACTTCAGTTACATCCCAACCCAACTCTATACATAGCCAAGGACAGGAGCTGGAAACAGTTCTGCTATTCTGGTTTTTCTTCTTGTTTTGGTTTCATGAAAAACTCTGGCTTGTTGACACACCTGTAAGCGAACAGCTGAGGAAGAATCCCATACATTATGTTCAATATCAGGAAAAACTCTTTTGCTTCTTCAGGGACTCTGTAGATGTAAGGAGTTCGAGCATGAAGAGAAGCACCAATATGGGAAAATTGAGCCTGTGGTGTGTATATAACACATATATTAAAAAAAGGTAAAGTTGATGTATATTTTTGGAAAGATGGAATAATCTACGTGCAAGTCTGCATCTCCAGTGACATTTTCCAAGCCAGCCCTCATTCTTATTCCAGAATTATCCATCATACTTTTGCACAGTGGTATAAAAATACAGTCTAAACTAAAATCATTAATATCTTGGTGTATGAGGCATAACTGGAACCATCAGTGGCATGCTAAGAGGTTTGTTTTATGCACATGGTGGCACTGATAATTTCATCAGGTACAGGATTCCACCCTGGCTTTCTGGGTCATAGTTTGTGCTAGAGGGTCCCCAAAAAAGTGGCCACATCCCTGCAGAGCCCAGTCAGGGCAAGGGCTCTCACCCACCTGCCTGGGAGGGTTGTTGGGAGTTTGGCATCAGTGGCAGCAGCCAGACACTCCCTCTGAGTAAAGTTAGAGAGTCTTGGAACCTATGTTAGTTCGGGTTTGGGTTTGGACTTCTTAATCTTAAACCCAGATTGTTCCAGCATCTGATCCCACAACTCCTGATGAGTTCAGAAAATGTCTGCAATATTTGGGTTTCAAGCTTGGGCTGGTTTGAAGTATAAATTGAGCATACAGTGAAGGTTATAGGCACAGACAGGCTTGCTGGCCTGAAGCATATTTTTAGCATAAACAAACATTTAAAGATAGAAGTGTCAGGATAGTCGGTGTCTTTTGTTTCCATCTGTTACCTGCTATTTCAAGCCACTGCTCATTCACATTAACTATTGTGTGTCCAATTTTTTAATTACTATTTAGTTAGCTAGCAGCGGAAGAGATCTGAGAAGATGAACATCAGTTTGACCATAAGGAGAGCACTGGGACACCAGGATTTTAGGAACACAGAGGAGTACACTATGGCCAAATCACATCCTCTGTTCTGGCTTCAGCAGGAGTCAGTTTGGCCTCAAGTAGAACATGGTTCTGGTCACAGCAGAGTAGAAGGGGAAATAAAGTGCAGGGGAAATAAAGTGCAGGTGTCTCAATACACCACCCCAGCAAAAGGTTAGGCTGGGACCATCCATCAAAACAGAAACAGAAATTGGTTTCAGGTGATTCCAACCACCTCAACTGAATTGGGAGAGCTCATTGAGCAAACCTGAGCCAGGAAACAAAGTAATCAACGAAATCAAATACAAACACACTTCAGCAGAGTGCCACTTAGCATGTTTCTGTAAATAGCTATTGCACTGCAAACAGATGTTCAGGGGCACATTGTCAGTAGCCTTTTTATATCAGCCTGCTAACTCACTCTGTCTCCTGCAGCCCATTTCTTCTCACCTGCCCAGGCAGGCCCTGCCTCTGGCACCTGGGTGGGCCTGCTGCCACCCCTGCTGTCACCCCCACTGCCATCCCTGCTGCAATTCCTGCTGTCACCCCCACTGCCATCCCTGCTGCCACCCCTGCTGTCACCCCCACTGCCACCCCTGCTGTCACCCCCACTGCCATCCCTGCTGCAATTCCTGCTGTCACCCCCACTGCCATCCCTGCTGCCACCCCTGCTGTCACCCCCACTGCCACCCCTGCTGTCACCCCCACTGCCATCCCTGCTGCAACCCCTGCTGTCACCCCCACTGCCACCCCTGCTGTCACCCCTGCTGCCACCCCTGCTGTCACCCCCACTGCCACCCCTGCTGTCACCCCCACTGCCATCTCTGCTGCAATTCCTGCTGTCACGCCCACTGCCATCCCTGCTGTCACCCCTGCTGCCACCCCTGCTTCAATCCCTACTGGAGGAGCCTCCTCAGCCCCGGCAGCCAGAGCAGGCCCGCAGCAAAGCCCCCTCATAGCACAGGGCAGCAGAGGGACAGACAGACAGACGGACGGACAGACAGCTGCCAGCAGGCTGCAGGCAGGAGGTTTGGGCTCTCTGGTGCACCAAGAGCCTCTGGGCTGCATTTTTAGAGCCTGGTCTGGGGTGAAGAAGCTGCAAAGCTGCTCCTTCTCTGAGGGGATTGTGAGGCCTGCCTGCCTGCGAGCGTGGCCAGCTGTGCTTCAGAGTAAGTTGATTATGAATTTCTCACAATTCACAGTAAACCTTGTCAGAAGGAGCTGTAAAGGGATGCTTCTGAGACCCAGAACTCCCAGAGCCTCCAAGATGCCCGAGTATCTAAGCCTTACTGTGTGGTCTTGTCTCTTACAGAAGTTGTGGGACATTAGTGAGCTTTAATTGTTGTAAAACCGAATAGCAGTAACATGATGTCCTGCTTGTAGCGTAGAAAGATTTTTAGTGGTTAATGATGCACCATATAATGAAGTTATTGTTTATTAGACTTGTTTTTCACTGTAACACATGGCTTCTTCTTTCATTTCCAAGGAGGATATTTAGGTCTGTAAAGTCTTTTCTTTTTTTTTCATTTATTTGATTTGCCTCTGTGAAAATTGTGTTATGTCTTTAATCTCCTGTGTTTCTGTTTCATGACTGTTCTCTGCTGCTTTTTTTTTCTTTCCCCTCTTTTTTTTTCTTACTTGGAGCAGGGGATATGTGTTAAAAGCAGATCTCTCACTCAGCAGTGGCCCAGTGCTGCTCTCCCTTCAGGCAGACTGGCAGCAAACCCCAAATTCTGAGCTGTCAGTCCCTGCAGAGCTCTGTGCCTGTCTGCAGTAGGCTGATGAAACCTTGAGTCTACTGTTACCTCGCTGTCATTAGGGTCTCTCAGCAAAGAAGCCATTCCTCAGTGCTTTCTGTTACTGATCCCCTCTCCAAGTGGAGAGTTTGGAGGCTCCAACAAACCCCTGAGCCTTGCCTGAGAAATCAACCAGGTGAGATGCTGCAGGTATCCTCCTAAGGTAGCCTTACATGCCCAGCATGCAGCCTTTGTCACCCCTGAAGCCTTGGCCACTCTGCTCCTCAGGCACTCCCAGCAGGTGGAAGCTGCTGGACACTGCTGTCTGTGTCTGCCTGCTTCTCACTGGCCTGCTTGTCTCTATGAAGCAGTCTGCACTTGGAATTTTTACAGTATTTTTTGCCTTGTTGCCTAATCATAGGCAGTATTTCATGTATTTTTTACCCTGCAGTTAAGGACAGAGGAAAGACCCAGAAAAAGGTTAGGAGTCCTTCTTCACTCTGTGCCTTCTCTCTAAGACTGACTAAAATCAGGCAAAGATTGTAACTTTGGAAGGGTTTGGACCTCGTCTCATGAGCCTGACAA